ATATGTTGGAGGCCAGGATCGGATCCGTTTAAAGCCATGACTTATCCGCGTGGAAATCAGTGATGGTTCCTGGTCGTGAATTCAGTTTTACTTGTGCAAATGTTCAAGCCTGGCAACTGCAGGCATTTTTAGGTGAAGGTGCCACGCGGAGAGGTTAGCGATGAGGTAGACGTGATGAGTTGAACTGATGACCCCACCATGGGCCATGATGTCATTTTGCAATAACAGCGTAGTATCCCCAATAAAATACGTTGAACAAAATGAACATGACCGGAAACAAGATCGCCGACATCCGGTCCACGTAGTCCGGGGTCCATACGTCAAAGGACGGGGCTCGTTTCGTTGTGGAAGAAGACGAGGACATCCACTTGGTCGGCGCTAGGGAGTTAAACCGTATTTCGGCAAAGTCCTTGTAATCCACACCTGCTGCTGTTAACGGTGCCAACGGGGCGTAAGCCATAGCCTTGCGCTGGGGAAAGATCGGCGACTGGTTTGTTTCGAGCTGCTGCATCTTCTTGGCTTTCGCCTTTTTCCGGTTTTGGACTTGGGTGAGGTGGCCGATCATCGCCAGCTCGACAAGCGACGCGAAGACAAACGTCATCCCGCTGAAAAGCAACAGATGATCAATGTCTACTCCATCTTTTCTTTAAGTACCAACAAAACAAGAAAGCATATAAGCAGAAGTGTAGTGCACAAAATCCTACCATCGCTGGTTTCAAGTCCGGCTTAAAATGGAGGGTGGTTGCGGGCCGTAGTGAGGGCACCTGTAATACCTAGCCTTTTCCTCCTAATGATACTGGCACTCTCGAACTCTATCCAAGTCGATCGTCCAGTTTGTAGGGGAGTTGATGGAGACTAACTAGACATGTTTTCTGTTGTATAGAATTATAGAAGTTTTTCTCCCGTTGATGAAAGTACCCCTGAACATCGAGCCAATATCATATTTCATTTTGGTCATAGGAAATCTTATTCTTTCCATAAACATCGTAACCTGAGATGAACTAGAAAATTATAAATTTTTGACTGATCAGAAAGACCCTGACGACGTGCGCATTAGTTCTTTGTGAGAAACCTGACGTTTTATATTTTACTTGCTGATTTCAAGCAGGTTGCAAAGAAACGGTTTACCGTACGTGCTATAACTTTCGAATGCGTCAATTGAACGACTTCGACTTCATGGAAGATAGTTAACTCAGCGAGCATCAGACCTACCTTCATGTCCAAACGGTAGGGCTGAGTTCGCTGCCAACTACCAAGATTAAGATCAGATACTCACTGGAGACGAAACGACTGTGGTGTATCAGATTTCCTGCCTGAGTTGCAACCTACAGTAAATTGGCCAGACATTATGCCACTGCGAGTTAGAGTTGCTGAGCATATGTGGATCCGAACACGTATGGAAAGTTGGAAGTAACTTTAACTTCTGGACCGGACCATCATCACGTTAGGACTGAACACCTCATCGACTTCGTGGGAACAAGACCCACTGCGATGGCAACGAGCATCACTAAAAGGGTCGTATGAAAAGCCCTCCTGACTCAGAATACAGAAACTGTTACGAATCGGGACTGTGACCGAGAAATGTAAAAAACATCGATCAGCCTTCAAAACTGACATGCAACGTCAAAGCCACTTCCACCCAAGTAGGTGAACAGGGGGTAATTTCCTTTTTGCCTAGCGAAGACGACGAGTGCGGGACCGCAGATGGTTGAAACCAATTATCTAGTGTTTTATGCCATCGGACTGCCAACCTTTACCCATAAAAGTGAAGCAGTCGGTAAGTTTCATTACTTGGCTGACGAGGCTGGAAACGGAAGCCGACACCTGGTCGGATCAAAACAGGGATTTATCATATGTAAGTATTTAAAATAAATTTTTAGCCGTTGCTCAGTTCAGTGACTGAGGGCAAAACGGTTCTGTACTTATAAGCTGACTTCATGCTGAACTTGGCATCATGCAGCATTCGTCGTGGTATCGCTGTTGATTAGTTGAAAGTTATTGATCGTATGATGCTGATTGGTATTTCGGTAGCCGATGGCTGGCAATGTTGATGACCTGGCGAACACGCTGACGACGATGGTGTCTGAGAGAGAATATCATTGCCGCAGAACAGTGATTAGTGCTGATGAAGCTTCTTGTGGTCACTGCATTTGGCTGTATTGTCATATGGGCAAGCGCCCTGCTGAAATAGCGACTAACGAGTGAAACGAGACGGGCCGACGACTGCTTTATGGCTAATCAAGAGGCAAATGAAAAGACTGTCGGTTTTTAGGAAACAGCAACAACAGCTGAACTCTATGATAAGGAGAGTTAGAGGATAAGGAGATAATTGATTGAGTTCGATCAGTTGCTAGGAACCACAGTGACATGAACATCTTTCACTCGATTAGCCGGTCCTCGCGAGACAACGAGTCGAAAGCTTTCCTCAAACAAGTTCGAGCGTGAAGTGTTAAGAAAACCGCTTAGACTCTTCCGAGAAGATTTCTCCTCTGTTCAAATGTTCCACAGAGCAAAGGAAGGCAAATCATTCCGCATGCAAGCAATCAGACAGGAACGATTGATTTTTACCGTGAAATGACCTGAAGTCGTGATCAGCCGCAGTGTCAGTGCCTAACACGAAGCCATGGGAAGACGGTGCGTAAATATGCCGCTGAGGCAAATGTCAGTGGCAACGGCGAAGCAAACCGACACCTTTGAAGAATTACGTTCGACAAACATTTGCGTGACAGGAACCCCCCCCAACCGTTAATCACACCCTGCTGCTTTCGGATTTATAGTACGTATATGCAGGAATACATTAAGATGTTCCAAAGGATACATTTGCTAGCTTTGTTTACAAGAAGCATGCTCAAATTAGACTTCAGTATGTAATTATTATAAAATTGAAGAATAAAAAATTTTTAAGCTAAATTCTTATTTCCCATGCAAACATTTTTTATGCGATCATCAAAAGGTAACTGAACCCTTCTTCAATTCATAAATCATAATGGTAGTCTACCGTAGATCACGCAAATGCCAAGATCTGTTGAAGTGTATGAATACAAATACACAACAGGTCCGTGTTCAATCGTAAAATAAACGCAAGCCCAAGCTTCCTTGACATTCTACCTTACGGTAGGCCGTTGTTAGGTGCATGGCAAGCAACGTTGGCTAGTTAAATAAATTTTTTATAATAAACAATTTTTTTCTAAAGCCGTTTTAGAAAAACTTTCATGAGTTCGAATTTACATAACTCAGGAGTTGTCTGTACTTGAATAAGCAGGCGTGCTGCATCATAACATTGGGAACACAACCATTTGATCGCGCACCTGATGACGGTTATTCAGCAACTTGGAAGACCGTCTTCCCACGACCGATTTTATGGCTGTACTGCCATTGGGCACATAACCAGCACACGCAGACGGTAAACCGCTACTAATGGAAAGGCGACGCAGGCATAAGGCGATATCTGAATCTTAAC